CACACACACACACACACACACAAACCGTGAACACACACCCGGAGCAGTGGGCAGCCATTTTTGCTGCGGCGCCTGTGGAGCAGTCTGGGGTTCGGTGCCTTGCTCAAGGGTCTCACCTCAGTCATGATATTAAAGTCATGGTATTAACTGTCCAGGAGAGTACTGGACATTCACTCCACCAACTTACAATCCCTCCCTGTTGAAAAAAAACAGCCTATGCTGGATAGGTATGTTTTGAAGCATGGCTGCTGGTTTGAGCTGGTTTAAGCTGGTTATGTGCTGGTCCTAAGCAACTAGCTCCTGCTCAGGACCAGCTCATAACCAGCTTAAACCAGCTCGTGACCAACTAAGGACCAGCTTAAACAGCTGCCATGCTTCAAAATATACCTAACCAGCATATGCTGTTTTTTTCAACAGGGGTGTTATAAGCAGGATAGTATAATTTAAATATAGTAAGTATGTCTGAAAAAGCACAATTTAAATATATTTCTTTTTCACCTGGGTCAAAACATACCTAACCAGCATATGCTGGATTTTTCAACAGGGCTGCTAGACCTGAGACTCGAACCCGCGACCTTCGAGTTATAAGTCTGACTCTCTAACCATTAGGCCTCGACTGCCCATGACTAGTTTTTAATATGTTTTATTGTAATTGTATTAAAAGGTAATTTATCCAGTATTCTTTACTAGTATTATTTCCCCCATTTTAGAATATTGTGAAGACATCAAAACTGTGAAATAACACTCAAATGGAATTACGGGAATTACTGTATGTAGGGATTAAAAATGTTAAACAGATCAAAACTGCGTTATATTTTAGCCTTTTCAAAATAGCCACTATTTGCCTCCAATTTTATGAGGTGTTTGCTTTTTCAAAAATATTGAAAGTTTTGCACGCTTACTGCATTTTCATACATTATCCACTCATTTCCCCACTCACTAGGATGCAGCTTTCCATGTAAGAAACACCCAATACATACTATGTGTTTTAACCTTTTGTAAAGCAGAAATTAATCTGTTTTTCTTCTGGCTCTCGGTGCATTTATTCAGTTGTTCACAGCTCAATTTTGATGTCAGGCGATTTGATACCTTTTTTAATTTAACATGCTACACATTTGCAATAATTCGATTTTATTGAATGCATATATATACAATATATGACAATATGAGTAGATTTTGACATTAAAATTGCAATAAAATTACACCATAAAACTGCAGCAATACAAATCTGAAATCTTAAGAGCCAAGGTGCACTCTTTATGCTTTGTGCAGCTTTATTATTAAATATTATTAACCATTATATTTGTTATATTGTAACAACTTCCCTGTGGATAGTGTGAGGCTGTATATTTACACTATCCACATATACATTCTAGAGCAGTAAAACTGTAAATGTAAAGCCACAATTAGTCATTTCAGGGTAGAATTTGGCTCTATGCATACTCATGTTTGCAGGTGTGATCCATGCTACGGCAGTAGCAGAAGGCCTTAAAGAAACGACAGTAACACGTATCGCAGGGGTTGCAGCAGGGCAGGTGATGACCCAAGCAGGACTGCTGATGAGGGATGCAGCGGCTGGGGGAACGTGTGCCTCTTCTCTGCAACTGTACAGCTTTACCCAGATCCTATGGCAACAAAAAGAAACAAAAATACTTCACCTTAGGTCAAGACGTAAACTGTGGGGGACCGTGCTTTTGCAGTGTCGGCCCCGAAGCTCTGGAACAGTTTGCCTTTGCACAGAACTGCCTCCACTGTCATTTAAGTCTATTTTAAAGACTCATCTCTTCTCCAAGTACCATCTCCAAGTAAATCAGAACATCCAAGTCACCACCTTACCTATTTGTGTATCACACTGCTGACATAGGAATGTGGGCTATGCCTTTCAATACTTCAGTGCAAAAAAAACTAGCCTATTAAAACTGCAAACAGATAATATCTTAGAAATAAAATATTTAAAAATAAAAACATGACAATTTAAATAAAATAAATATTTGTAAATAATTTTAGCACTGACAATTTCACAGTCATGAGACGTATGACCTGGAAACAAGTAAAGTCACTTGATATTAAATGCGTATGCTAAATGTCAGTTACTCGCCTCATCATAGGATCCAAGGTCTTCTAGCAGTTTTTCTTCTGCGGAGTTTATTTCAAGGTGCTCCACTCCAGGTAGTAAGTCTATGATGTACCAAACAAAAATGCACCAAAACCCCAAAAATTACAAGCTGTCCATGACATAAATTTGAAATTCATTAATTTAGTACATAATGTAACACAGAATTTACACAATGAAATACTGACCATTTTTACATACATGTTGTGTACTTCCATAATGAATAAATCATAATGTAAATGATATCCACTTGTATATATTATCCAAATATAATATATTTGAAATGTATTGATTTTGAAATAAGTAGAATTTGACTTGAAGACTGTATCAAACATTCTTTATTATTACTATTTTTCACATTTTAGAATAAGATTTTTGTAACATCCCCTATAAGATATGTGTAAACATTTGTACTGTATCAAATCACAGTAAACTGTATTAACAAAAATTTTCTAAACATTTTTAAAAGAAAAGACTATCTCTGAAATTATCGACAGAAAAAGATACACTCCGTGTTTTTGGAAAATAACATCAATCTAGAAACCTTACCTGTGTCAGATAGAGCAAAGGAGTTTTCACTACGTCTCAGGTTTGGATGTGATGCCATCACCATGACATTCATCAAAAACCAGCTGATGATCGCTATGTTCAGCATCATATTCATTGAAACCCAAAAACAAGATAAACTTCAGCCACACTTTTAGTGATCCAGTTTATTCACTGAAAAAAACAGAGTGCAGTCAAGAAACACTCAGATTGACGTTCAATGTTTGAAATCATGTTTATGTTTGTGAGCATGTAGACAGATAGATTGTAGATTGTATTTTGTATTTGCATTGGTTTGTATTTGCCATACAGTATGTAAGTGGATCTGTTTGCACATGCACATGAATAAGTAAAGTATGTCTGACTTACCTGCAGGGTGTCCAAGGCTGAGGGTCTGCACTGGACTCTGTGATTTATAAGGTTCCTTGAGGTGGGAGGTGTCCCACATGGTCCTGGTCAGTGAATGGAGGTGTGGTCTCTTGTGCCTGGCACAACCACTTAACTCCCACACAAACACTGACACACACATAAGCCCATGCACTCATCACATCAACACAGGAAAAGAGGAATATATAGAATTTGGAGGATGGTGAACGCTATTTCAGACTTTGATATATTCAACTTGAGTTAAATGTATGAAATTATATGAGAAGTATGAAAAATGCATTGCTGCTTAGTATAGCTCAGTAGGTATGAAACATGGTGCTGCATTTTGAACCAATACTCAGAACAAATATTAGTTAAATATTGTTAAGTTTTGGTTATGGCTTATTTATATTGCAGCAAGGCATACTTATAGTTTTACGACTTACACATTCGGTTTTTATATTTATACATTATTTATAATTGGAGTTCATTTGCAAAAACAGATAACTCTATTGTTTTTAACAATATTCAAAAATCATGTTTTTTTTCATTGTGCATTCCAATTAATCTCAATCAAACTGCAGTTGGGTTATTTTGATTAGGTTAAAAAATAACTAACAAATACAGCTAACTAACACAATAAAACACAATAAAAACATGATAACATAATAAAAAATGTTTTTGCAAATAAACTCTTAATTTATACTTCATACTCCCCCATCCTATAGGTTTAGTTAAAGCTCAGTACTGACCAGTAAACACTTCATTATGAAGCTAATACAGCTCCAATCAGCTGATGACTCCAGCCTGCTGTTTTAGCGCTGATGACGCAATACAGCATCCATTTGTGAGGAAATAAATTGTTTATGAGTATGAAGTTCAGTACTTCTCTTTGTAAGGTCAGATTGGTCTGAATTGTTTATAAGTGACAACCAGAATGCGTAATTAACAGAAACATGTGTTAGAGCATTTTGTATGAAACAAACAGGTCAAGGCAGCATTAGTAGTTTAGATATTTGAAGACTGGTCTATAAAGTCTATGGCATAGATACAACTGTATGGTGAAGCTCTCTTTTTTATAATAAATAAACAAGTAAATAAATATTGTGTGTATGTAATGCTTAAGCTGTCACCAGACAATTTCTCATCAACAAATATTTGGTGCTATTTTAAACTACGACATGCTTTTAGCTGACTAGTATTAAATTAAGATGATTTGAGTTCATATCCTGCTTTCTGGAACATATAAATGGCATATTTGAAGAAATAATGGACTGAGCGTTTCCGCTGAAAGACACTTTGTGAACATTTAATTTTGCAGCGAAAATAATTGATCAGAGGGCAGTGATGAGTTCACAGAAATCTGTTCATTGTTCATGTGAAAATGTACATTAATTAATAATCTTCTGGAGAACAGCATCATCTGAACAAGTTTCTCCATTTTATAAGTTGGCTACATCAAGTATAATATTAATGGTAGCTACTTCTTCAGAAGCTGGCAGAGTGCACCATACACACTGCCTTTCAAAAGCCATTGGCCTTTAATTAATGAAGAAAAAACATACTAGTTGGTTTGTAAGGATGGTGTATAAGCTACTTGAAAAAAAAAAAGATTTTTTTTTTGCCAAAGGAAAACATTCACATTTACATTCACATTGAAACATTCAAGTTAACCAACAAACAAACAATAAACGTGGAATCATTAGTTTGAGGTTCTGCTCAGGGCCTCTGCTCAGGTTATGTGTAGGGCTGGGCTGAGATCAGTGTTTAAGGTTTGATAGTCAGATGCTCAATCACATGAGTTCGTGTGTGTGTGTGTGTGTGTGTGTGTGTGTGTGTGTGTGTATCCGGGTATCCGCAACTTCCCTCATTCAGCTATGGGAATTCCGACTCATTTTCTCGAATCGGTTCTTTTGAACAGTTCATTTGAAAGATTCTGTCTTTTTTTTTTTTTTTTTTTGAGGGTCCCAGCGTTGCTTGTTTATTTACTTTCAAAGCAATTTTTAACATTCTACGACCGATCATCCCTCATTTAAAAATAAAAATAATTTAAGTGCAACAACAACTTCGAAAAGACGAGTCCATTCTAATCCATAATGACTCTAAATATCTGAATGGGGGTTCTTATCAGAGTCTCACTCTACTCCAGGATCAGTTATTTATGTGCTGGCCCCAGTTTGCCCTGAGAGAATATGGGTCATCTTCTGATCTGAGACCTGCTCCTGCTGGCACAAACCCATGGCCTGACTCAGACAGGCAGCCAGGAGGTGCTTACACATCAGACTCTCGTTTCTCCGGAGCACAGAGAAGGAGAAGGCAGGGCATGGGCAGTAGTGACAGGACGTGAAGCACGTGTACAGACTAGGGGTTGAACGACTTCTGATTTTTTAAAGTCGACTTTTATGTGATGAAAGTCGAGTCGAAGTCGACTAGTCGCTGATGACGTCATTAATGAACACATAAGTCTGGAGCTGTGATAAACACCTTGTGCACAGCTATGGCATATGACACAGCGCTGCCCACATGGCTATTGCTCCTAGAACAGCTCTTTTATCAGTTCTTTGGGTCGTTATATTTCTCACAGATTTCTGCTCATTCTAAATCAGATACAGATAAAGTAGCACAGTAAAGATTACATTCATATGAATGCATTAGTGAGAGCGATTGCGTGTGTGAATTAATTCTACCTGGCAGCGTCTCTCTACTAGTAGTGAAGCTGTGGAATTTAGTTATTAAGAAATATATGCTTGAACTTTTCAGTTTCTAAGCTATTTTATTGAGAAATCACAGAACAGTGTTGACAATACATTTCCGCGCTGAATGATTCTGTGCGCGTGATGTACGCGCTACTGTCTGTAGCCTATGTGTGTGCGTTACAGTGCAGCAGCGCATTAGATTAGAACGGCGATTAATTTACCTGTACAATAAACTGTTTAAAACGTGCATTCTCCTGTTCAATTTCGAGCATCCAGTAATATAATCACACATGTCTTGTGGAGCGCTTTCAGAGTATGCATTTATTTGTCATTTGAACTGTTTGGAAACGGAGCGTAAATGTGGAAGTCCTTCAAGGATTTCTTATCCTGTTGCGCCCTCTATAGGACCAGCAACTAGTCGACATCAAGCTTAAAGCGTCATGGCAGAGCACTGAAGTCGACTAGTCGATTAGTACAGACGCCCTGATCCCCCTAACACCTGAAATGCCTTTCGACCGCTAGGTGATGACAAACATGTGACAGAGCGCTGGTCCACCAGGTCCAACGCCTGAAGAGCACATTGGCCAAACACAAACCGTAATGCTATTAGTAGGTCAGGTATCTGGTTTGTCTCCGAGTAAGTTCTCTGAAGGTCTTTCAAAGCTGCTCAGCAACAGAAAGCAGAGATGAGCCCATAATGCACCAGAAAACGTGTTCATGTTTCCCGCACCACCGTATCATCTGTTCTTTTACGTCATCGCGGCTCTAGTCTAAAACTAACGTTACAATAATGATTATTTCTGTTTCCGAATGAAATTAATAGGCTAATTGTTTATCGTTATGTGTTATTGTATTGCAGTGTACCAGTTTAGCAGCTAGGATTCAGCTCAGAATAAAGTCATTTTGAAATTAAAATGTGTATTTACAATAAGCAAAACTGAAATGCATACATTTTTCGGGTAAAAAATACACACGAATTTGTTAAAACGAAGTGCTTCGTATGTGTATTGATTAAACTGCCATACAATAAAGCTGTAAACAATCCAGGATTCCTTTTTGTAGTTATTCTGGCTCATTTAATCAATCAGACCAGTTCTGTGAACCTGTTAAAAAAATTAACTGAAAAGATCCGACTCAGAAGAACGATTCTTCACGAATCAGACAGCATTATCACTCAAGACTGCACTGGGTTACATCTCTCTCTCTTAAGCTAGTACACCGGTAGTGTTATTTTCATACAATGCCTTTCTCTGAATTATATTTTAATGTGGATAATGGTTATCTGGAGGGGCTGGTGAGAGGTTTTAAGGCTGGTATTTTATCTCAGGCAGATTATTTGAATCTCGTTCAGTGTGAAACTCTGGAAGGTGAGTCGAGTGTGTGTTGGTTGCTAACGTTAGCTGATCTGCTAGCTGTCCCATTTTATTTGCGATATTTCTACATACCGTTGCGTGTCGTTATTGACATTTATCGTCGTTCAAAGATGCAAAACCTAATTTTATAATTGTTGTGGTAACTCGCTGATAAATCGTCATATATCTATAGCACATCCCAGCTAATGTCAGTTAGCTTGTTTTTTTAGCCAGCATTTAAATTCCCTTTAGCAGGTGAAGATCAGTTTTCACGCCCTTATATATTCCTCATTTTCCTCAGACCTAATATTAAGTTAACAACTGAAGCCCTGTAATCATTATATTATGTTACTCTCACTACTAGTATTTAAATGTACATGTTAACTGTGATGCTATCAGCAACACATTCAGTGTATATTAGCTATTTTCGGACTTGTTTGTTTACGCGTTCATTTTATGTGATTGTACGCGAATGTTTAGAGCACGGCTCTATTTTAATTATGCACAGTGTACAGTACAGTATTATTATTATTATAAGGCCTCTGTTTAACCTGACTGACTGACGAGTTACCAGCGCATCACCTTTCTATTTCAACGTCGTTTTTAAAAATGTTCAGTCGGGTAAGAGATTAGGAGCGTTTTATGCAAGTGTTCGAGATAAATAGTAAATGTTTACGTGTTTATATAAATGAAAGATGCAGGTTTCATTAAAAAAAAAAAAAAGGTAGTTGATGGTGCTGGTCATGTGATGCATCATGACGTCACTTCTGTAGGATGGGCAGATTCTTCTTCAACCTGCGCTCATATAGCCTACTGCTGTGTGGAGAATTTATGACTTTGTGTAATTTTCCTCTGTCGGCAAGTTTGCTCTAATTATTTGAAGCACATATTTGCTTTAATTAGAAAAAAAGCAATTATGCCCAAACTTTTATCGGATAGAGTTTGCCTTCTACTTTATGTGTATTCTGTAAAATTTAGGAAGAAACTTTGACTCATTTATTATATCAATGCAATCAGATACATTACCCGGCAGGAACCATGCTGTTTAACTTACTGTTAATTCCTCTTTGCATAGATTTGAAGTCTTAGAACTCATAAATAATGATTGAAGATTATGATCTTTCTTACTGATTGAGATGTCCTTTGTTTATTTGTTCAACCTGTGCTGCATTATATCCTAATATTTCACACTTTGCAATGAAATTAGTCCTTTCAAAATAACCAGATTTTTTGCATTATTTGAAATTAAAACAATATTTTTTATAAATGTATTAAATTATAGCTAATTTGGTCTCTTCCTTAAAGAATCAATGGCAAGTGACTCACTTGGAATTTTTGTCTCTGTTTTAGGGAACTGGAAATTGTTTAAAAACAGTTCCGAGATATAGAATATAGAAAGCACTGCCAGAATGCAACCCTTTAACACTGAGGATTGAGGTTTTGGGTTTACAGATAAAATCAGTTAATAGTTTTCTTGTTTTGTTTTTTTCCTCAGACCTGAAGCTTCACTTGCAGAGCACTGACTATGGAAGCTTCCTGGCCAATGAAGCCTCTCCCCTCACTGTCTCCGTCATTGATGACAAGCTGAAAGAGAAGATGGTGGTTGAGTTCCGCCATATGAGGAATCAGTCTTATGAGCCTCTGGCCAGCTTCATGGATTTCATCACGTGAGTGCAGTTAAACATCAAAGAACATAAACAAACCACGCTTCAAATTCACACTGCATGAGGCGTCACATATAATATTGAGCTCCTGTAATTTACAAATGTATTGTGTTTAGTGAATATCCATAGCCAATAATATTTTTGTTTGCTTTCACTGCCGTTTTTTGACTTTTGACCTCTCAGCACCCATTATTAAGCTCTTTTCCATCTTACTGCTTTTTCAGATACAGCTATATGATTGACAATGTCATCCTGTTGATCACTGGAACTCTCCATCAGCGGGCCATTTCAGAGCTGGTGCCCAAGTGCCATCCGCTCGGCAGCTTTGAACAGATGGAGGCCGTTAACATCGCCCAAACTCCAGCAGAGCTCTACAATGCCATCCTGGTGGATACACCACTTGGTAAGACGGTCTGATATGAAAAATTCACACGAGTCACATTCACTTCATGTTTTGTAGACAAAGGAAGTCGGTGAGTTGGGAATCTTGTCAGTACTTTTTAAGCATTCAGAAATGTTGTGAAACGACTCAAAAACATGTTCTAAATAATGCCAAGGTGCTTATTTCTACATCACAGTTAATGGCTGTTTCTGTTTGTTTCAGCTGCTTTCTTTCAGGACTGCATCTCTGAGCAGGGGGGTCTGGGGCTAGTTATCCCACTTTTTACTACTCTGTATATTTTTCAGTGTATGTTTGTTTTTGGAAAATCAGTTTCTGTTTAGGCACATACCAAGATGTTATTTGCATTAAATAGGAATAGTCGATACAAATACTAAGATAAGATGAACATGAGAAATAATAATGAAAAAATAATCATAATAACAACAAAATAGCGATAAGGTATATAGGATTACAAAGTGCTAGGCATGTTACCAGCGCAATGTCAATATTACAACAGTTATTATTATAATTATATGAAATAATTCGCAACACTCTTTACAAGGTCAGCCTTGTGATGGAATATACTAGAATGTAAATCTTAAACATTCATTAGGAATTTTCATATGATATGACAAGTATGCATAAGCACAGAAACCTGCTGGTTTGTCTTTGTGCGGGTCTCAATCTTATTTATTTATTTAGTCATTTAGCAGACTATCTAATTTTGACCGTGTGTGTGTGTGTGTGTGTGTGTGTGTGTGTG